TTATGGCAGTGACTGATGTGTGTGTGTGTGTGTGTGACAGTGAGAGAGAGTGAGAGGCAGTGGGGGAGGAGGGGGGATGTTGAAGGGGAGAGGGAGAGAGATTGGGGGGCTCCCTCTTCTCAGAGAAGGGGGAGAGAAACAGTGAGGGCGGGGACTGGGAGGAGAGCTGGGGCTGATATTGGGATATAAAGGGAATAAATAAACTAATTTTAAAAAAAAACAAAACAATGTTAACAGAGACAAGAAATCAGAACCTTCCCACACTGCTGCTGGAGCTGTCAGATAGTGCAGCCCATCAAGCTGCTCATGGCTCCTTCCAATATTGAAAAGGCAGTTACCACATGATTCAGAAATCCCATCATAAACACGCCCAAGAGAGATAGAGATCCATGACTTCATGAAAATTTGAGAACAAGGTTTGGGTATACAGCCCAGTGGATACAATGCTTGTGAAAGCATGGAGTCCTAAGTTTGGATCCTCTGCACCCTAGCAAAAGCCTGACAGGGGCTATACCTGTGATCCCAGCACCTAGGGGCGGGAGGCTGAGGCAGGCCAATAGTCAGGTGGGGCATTCCCTGTGCAGCCAGTCTAGCAGAAATGGAAAACAGGGAATGGAGGGGAAGACAGCAATGCTGACTTCCGGCCTCTGCACACACCTACACGACCACTTATACATAAGTGTGAGAACGCGTACACGAACACTCACAAAACTTGTAAAGTCACAGCAGCACTGCAATATCCAAAAAGCGCGCGGGGGCGGGGGGAGGACCCCTCAAATGCACACAAATAAACTTATATGGGATATAATCATACAACAGAACATCGTTTTACAATAAAAAGTAATGGAGTATTGACACATGCTATAATGCACAGATCTTGAGAATACTGTGCTAGGGGCTGGAGAGATGGCTCATTGTCTCAGAGCAGTTGCTGCAAAGGATCTCAGTTCAGTTCCCAGGGCCCACATCCAGTGGCTCAGCCTCTCCTAACTCCAGCTGTGGGGGTTCAGCGCCCTCTGTGGCCTCCGTGCTCCTACCCCGTGCCTCCATGCAAGGATCACATTATTCCAGGTACATAGAAAACTAAAAATAAATATTTTGGGGGTGGATAGGGAGGTGGGAAGAAGCTGGGGGAGAGATGGGAGAGGGGAAAGAATATGGTCAATATATTGTACTTAAGAAAAATGTTAATAAAGTTTAGAGATAATGTTTGTAATTTTTTATTATTGTTTGTTACTTATTCACTTTATATCCCACTCACTGCTCCCTCCCAGTCACCCCCACACAATCCTTCCCCCCACTCCCCTTCTCCTCTGAGCAAATTGGGCCCCCCCCAGGTAAATATTATTTTTAAAAAAGATAGCATACTAAGTGAAAGACGACGTCACGATATGAATCCGTATTGTAAAACATCCATACTTATATGAAACATGTTAACGAGTCAGAAGATAGATGAGCAAGAAAGCAGAAGTGGCTGGTAATGGGCACCGGGGATTTTTAAGATGTTGACCATGTCCTGAAAGTAGCTGTCCTGGTGGTTACACAGCCGCGAGGACTTACAAAAGCCCTCTGAAAGCCCACATTAAATAGGCGGCTACGTCCCAGTAAAGCTGTTACTTTAAAAAGTTGTAATATCATCCTGAGCAAGTAAGAGAAAGACGTCACTCACCATTCACCACCCACCCTCCAAAGGGAGCTTTTCAGAGCTGTGTCTGGACTTCCTCTTCCCACCCATCCCTTTCTGTTCTTTTTTTAAGGAATAAAACTTCTGCGTGCTGCTCTGTGAGCTGGAAGGCTCTGGTTATATATTTCTCCGCTCATCTTATTTTGGACTCAAACATTTATAAGAAAATGCTTACCATGTAGAAGAACACCGGAGATGTCTCCATTCTGACACTGTTTTTACGTCTGGGTGAACGGCTAAGTGTCCCAGCTCTGTCATTCTCATAGTGAATAGAAGTGCAACAAAAGGCTTTCTCTGGTCCGTGTTCACTCAGCAGCCCCTGTGTGACCTTCCCCTCATGGTGTCAGTGTCTGTGTGCATGTGCTGAGGGTGGGGGTGGGAGCCCAGGGCCAGGGCACTGCTACAGTAATTAGCCTCTCGTTTGAGCCCCACACAGCAGCCACCTGCCTCAGCTTTCCCTCAGTCTCCTAATCTCCACTCCGACGCTGCTCTCCGATCTCCGATGTTCACAAGAAACCACCTACACATAGCAAGCACAGGACCAAGCCTCAGAAAGAAAACAGGCTTTGGAGTATGGTAGACAGTGAGTTCAAAACCTAACCCTGTCCCTTGCCACTTAGCTACCTTGGGCAAACTTCTGATGTCAGATCTATCCAGCAAAGATCACACAAGCCACCAAACAATTCCGGAGTTACCAATACAAGCTGCATACTGAGGGCAAGCCCCTGAATCACACATACACTCTCTCCATGGTCGGAGACAGGAAGATGTGACCAAGTAGTGAAGATGAGGTTTCCATAGCAACACTGAGGAAGCACAGGCTCTCCTGAGGAGATGAGAGGCCTCAACGTGCCCACAGGATGCCTCTGGTTGACAATTACTGGCCTTCCTTTATGTGATCCAAGGTTACAGCCACACAGAACTACACTTGGCACAAGCTTACAATTGACTATACAAGGAAGGGTCCTCACTAATCACACTGCTAGGCAGAATAGAATGCTCACTGCTGGAGGTTTGCGAGGTTTATTGCTGTTTGGTTAGGTTTTTGAGACAGGGGCACAGGTAGCTCAGGCTGGCCTAAGTCCACTGCCCACGTGCTGGGATTATACTTGCTGCTTGTGACAAGGGCTTTTTCTGCATTCAGAGGGAATCGGTGTATAACCTAGATGATATTGGTTTCTTCCTGACCAGCTTTCTCCAGGACTCTTCTGCTCATTTCAAGAGATATTCATGAATGGGTTTCCCCCCAGGTGAGAATAGGAAATGATAGTTTCTCAGGAGAAACCAGTCAAACACTCCATCCTCAGAACAAAAACTTACTCAAGCAAGGACACAGCTTCTCCCCTCAAAAAATGCTTAGCTGTATACACAGAATCCTGGAGCCAGCACCGCCAGGATAGGGCAAGGACCAAGGTGGCACATGATAAGAAGATTCCTAAACCAGAGATCAACAGGACCTGTACAGAGGAACCTGGAGGGGGCAGCTTACACCTGCTATCTCCCCCACCTCCAAGTCCCCAGCCCTCTTCCCGAGCCTGGAAACCACAAACACTGTCAACATGTACAGTACCAAGCAAGCAAGCATGTACACGTCCTGGGAACAGACAAAAGTCTGGCCTGGTGCACAGGCCTGTAACCCTGCTTACCCACAAGCCAAAGCAGCAGGTGAGCGAGCTTCAAGTTATCATCTGGACTTCGTGAGCATTTATTAACCCTGGTTGGTGTGTTGCTTACTTTTCTGGTTACTGTGACCAAATATCATGTGACTGCTTAAGGGAGGGAAGGTTTATATTGGCTCATAGTTTGAAACTACACACACACACACACACACACACACACACACACAATGTAATAAAATTCTTTAAAAAAGAAAAATAAGGACTCATGTAAGTACTAGCTAATTTGTAAAAGTAATTCTAGAAAGTACCTTCAAATTTCTACTAAGCTAGTTTTGCTTACTCTGGTAATATACAATGGGTGGGTTGGGGCCACAAAAATCAAAAGTGAACACTCTATTCATCCCAGCAGAGCCTGGGAAGAGTACTGCGTATGACGTATGACTACTGGCCATCACTTAGACAATGTAAATCTAGATTTAACAGGGGAATGTTGACAGAAGATTCTGGACAGAGTTAGATTGGTAAACCTTGAGATTCTGGATCTGCTCTGGTAGAGGACCTGGAATAACCAACATCTTTCATTTATGTGAGAAGAACACGTCTCCAGTGTCATTTAGCACACTATTAGAACAGTTGGTTTTTAAGATTCAACCAGTGGAAACTAGACAGGTCTCTCCAAGACTGCAGTGCACTCTGCTCTTTCGGAGAACCTGAGTTCCCTTCCCAGCATCCACTTCAGACAGCTCATAGCTGTCTAACTCCAGCTCCAGAGGGGATCTGACAACCTCTACTGGCCACTCAGGGCACCTACAGGCACAGGCTCAAATACACACATGCATGTAATTAAATATAAAGTCTTTATAAAATGTTTTAAAAGAGTCAAACGACAGTCACACAAGAATCAAATGAAGCACCAGGCGGTGGTGGCGCACACCTTTAATCCCAGCACTTGGGAGGCAGAGGCAGGCGGATTTCTGAGTTCGAGGCCAGCCTGGTCTACTGAGTGAGTTCCAGGACAGCCAGGGCTACACAGAGAAACCCTGTCTCGAAAAAAAAAAGCAACAAAAAAAGAATCAAATGAAACTCAGTGGCTCAGTGTTGTCTGAGCTTTTTTCAAGTCATTTAGCTCTTCCTCTCCAGGGACAACGTGCACTTCAGATTTTCTCATAACTCAGCCAGAGTCGCCACCACTTGCTACACACATGCGCACTGATGATGGCTTAGTGTACAAGAATAGGTATGCGCAATCTCTCTCCTTTCCACCCCGATCCCCAGGTTCCCCCAGCTTAGTTTTCATCTGTACAGTCTTCAGCTCGTAAATGGTTGACGGAAAAGCCCTGATGCAGTTAGCTCGCCACACCGCATTCACTCCGCGGGCATGCGCATTTTATAGCTGTTCCGATACCATGGGAGGTGATGTTGTCTGCCTCGCATATTGGGTTACAGGGGTGAACATGCCGCATTGGGCACGCCACCTGTTGTACTGTAATCACGCCAACAGATTTCCCACGGCAAATCTGATATGTCCTCGCTGCTTCGTCCACAGAAAGGAATACAGAACTCCACTGGATGAATCAAGCCTGCTCTGAATTGAGGGGAAGTCAAGCATGAGGAGGAAGTGAACTGAACCCCACTCCACCCCCTGCGTTGCTGAGAAATGTTTGACCCAGCTAAGCCCGTGCTTTTTCAAGTAGCTGGCTGGGAGGGTGGAGAGAGTAGAGAGAAGCCAGTGGCTGCACCTGAGTAAGAAACCCTTGGATGGCACAGACCTTGACAATGGTCAGGTTGGTTAAGCCTGGACATATGTTTTATCATAGATTTGGAGCCAGTGACTGAGTGTCTAGCATTTTCCCCTTCTTCTATCATCAATTTTTGAAATATGAATTATAAATAACTAAAAAAAAATCAGGGAGAGAAGAACAAAGATAATCCAGTAAGTAACATGGCTCTTTCTAGGCCAGGGGGTCTTGGACAGAAGGTGATCACAGACCTAAGGTCACCAACCTAAGGCTAGCGCTCGGGGTTATGGGTGCTGTGAAAACATTCTTCTAAAGGTGGATGAGATGGGGCTTACTCGGTGAGCAGTGACTTACAGGTTTGCCTTGGAAGTGAGAACCCAGGGTAGTGGTGAATAGTACCAGCCCAGAAGAGCTAAAGAGAATTTGGGGGGTTGAACATTCCCACCAGTGAGCTACAGCTAGGTGGTCAAAAGTCTTCCCACTGGGTGGGAGAGATGGCTCAGCAGTTAAGAGTATGGACTGTTCTTCCAGAGAATCCAAGGTCTGGTTCCAGCACGCACCTGACAGCTCACAATCATCTGTAACTTGTTCTAGGGGATCTGATGCCCCCTTCTGCCTTCCAAGAGGACAGTCGTGTGTGTGGTCCAGACATACAGGTAGGCAAAACATCCATGCAAATAAAATAAATCAATGAATGCTACAATAAAACAATAATAATAAAATTCCACCTAGAGTCACTACTCTCCCCTGTCCTTTAGCTTGGTGCTTAGTGACTATCTTACAGGTTTACGGGCAGGGGTATTTTAATAATGTTGGAAATCTTACTTAAATAATATATGCATACATGTATATGTATATGGATGTATTGGAAATTGTGTTAGCCATAGAACTCAAAAGACAAAATGAAGTGTTGGGTGTACTCTCTCTCTTTCCCTCTCCCTCACCACCCCTCATACACACACACACACACACACACACACACACACACACCCATGGCTAGCAGCTTCTTATAGACTACAGGGTATTGAAAAGAGGTGGGACAGGGGAAGTTTGAAAACCGCACATCTGTTGCACATCTGTGATCCATCTTGTGATGGAAGGGAATTCAGGTGTTCAGAGTCTCTGAAGATGTTCTGTGATTTTGCATTCTATCTTTCATAATGAGATTCTCGGGTTAAACACTAGCAGTCTTTTCTCATTTAATCCTTCTTTTTTTCTCATGTGTAAGGGTGTCGTACATGCACATGTTGTCTGTGCACACCTTCCTGCCTGGTGTCCACAGAGGTCAACAGTAGGTGTCAAGATACCCCAAACCTAGTTTTGAGCTGCCATATGGGTGCTGAGATTAAACCAGGATCCTTTGGCGTTGAAGCCATCTCTCCAGCCGACATTAAGGTTTTGACATCCACTGCCTGGTGCACACTGTCCGTACAGAGCACACACGTGCAAGGTGGCAAGGCACAGAAAACTCGAAACAAGCTGGGCTCATCTGCAGCAGCAAATCGACTATTTGTGGCAATTTTCTTCTTTCAGTTGTAACACACAAAGTTTTCCTTAGCCAATTAGACTATTTACACTTCCTCCTCTGCTTCTCCCTCTCCAATTCTGTGATAAGGTCTTGGCAGACGCCAAATTGGGCGGGACATGGCGGGGCAAGCCAGAGCTTGGGCAGCAGAGGTAGGCAGGTTTCTGTGAGGTGGGGGTTAGCCTGGTCTACAAAGAGTGTCTAGGCCACCCAGAACTCCAGTGTCTCAAAATAAAACAAAACTGACAAAAACAAATAAAACCCATAACAAATGAACAGGATTAGATTACTAAATGAATTGTTTGGAAAATCTCCCCCACACATTTCACTCAAGCCCTTAATATTCTTAAAGATTGATTTATTTTTATTTTCTGTGTATGTGTAGGTGGCTAAGAATTATCATGTGTGTGTGCCTATTATCCACAGATGGCAGGGTGCCATTGGATCCCCTGAAACAAAGACTTGTGAGCCACCATGTGGTGGTGGGAATTGAACCTGGGTCCTTTATGGGAGCAGTGTTCTATATCATTGATCTATCTCTCTAAGCCCATTGATAACAATTTTTTTTTTTCCGAGACAGGGTTTCTCTGTGTAGTCCTGGCTGTCCTGGAACTCACTCTGTAGACCAGGTTGGCCTCGAACTCAGAAATCCTCCTGCCTCTGCCTCCCAAGTGCTGGGATTAAAGGTGTGCACCACCACCGCCCGGCAATAACAATTTTTAGTATTTTTAGTAAATATAATAAAAGTAGGTCATTTTTGAATTGTCAACAGTAAACTCTTTACCAAAGATTCCACTTAGGAATGAGCAATGAGTGCTTATTTCTAAATGAAAATTGCGAAAAAGAAAATAATTCTTTAAAAATGATTTATGTGCTAGCCTTGATCTTACAGTAGCTGCTACAGTAACCCAAGTGCTAGGGTTACAGGCATGAAGCCAAATCGTGGTTAAGACTGTTTTTAAACAGTATGGGACTTCTGGGTGTGGTGACACACACCTTTATTTCCAGCACTCGGGAGGCAGAGGCAAGTGGATCTTTGTGAGTTTGAGGCCAGCCTGGGCTACATAGTGACATCCTGTCTAAAGGGGAGGGGGTGAGAGAAATATGTTCCACTACCATTCATAAGCAGCGTCTCCAAATATCTAATTTCTCTATTAAAAATACACCATCCAAAGCTCTGTTTCCTACTAAAAACAAAACAAATCTCTTTAGTTTTCCTATGGTACAAACAAGAGTGCTTTTGAGAAGTGTAACTAGCATACCAACTCAGAGAGCAGGCAAGAATGAAGGGCCAGAGGGTTCTCTAAATCACCAGGCCTGGAAACATGAAGGGCCAGAGGTAAGTCGGGTCCCTCATCCATGTATGTGTTCCTTCAACAGAAGCCACTCCCTGGCTGTTTCTACATTCAAATTCTTATGCAGCACAAACAGTCAGTCCCTATCACACAAGAAATGGGATTCTAGTCACTGGAGGGTGTCCTTTGGTCTGCTGTCTTTGTGAGGGGCTATTTATTGCTTTCTCAGACAAGTGTATCAAACAGTGGCAGAAAATGTAGTCAAACTGCTCAAATTTTCTTATGAAATGATGAAAGATAACCAATCCTATAACCCTAACACTTGGAAGGCTAAGGCAGGAGGATTATGAGTTTGAAGTCATCTTGGACTATATATAATTTAGTTCCTGAGTTACAGAGTGAGTGAGATTTTGTATTAAACAAACTAAAGCGTGGGCAAGCAGGTGTTTCCTATGTTCTTACAGTAAAAAAGTCATTATTGGAGAAGCAGAATGAGATCTTTGTTTGGTTTCTTCCGGAGTTTGCATATGCAGTGAGGGGACACAGGGAGGACAGTCATTTAAACAATGGCCGATTTAAATATCGGGGTTTCACAATCCTTAAATGGGGGAAAGTCGCATGGGGCACTATTCAGTCTCTTGAACTCCTTGTTAGGACTCTAGGTTCGTTCATGGGCATAAAGTTCTAAGAATCCTGCTGGAAAGTAAGGCCAGGGAAAATCACTGCGCTCCAGCAGTGTGCCAGACTCTGACACACCAAACACTACCTCAGCAATGAGGCTCAAAACCCACCGGGTGTTGGCAAACCTATATGTCAGCTTAGTGTCAAACAGAAAGGCCACTATGCTGGACAGGGAAAGGGTTTAGCTGCTAGTTAGCTCTTTCAATACAAAACCCAGACAAGAGAGGCAGGATGTCAATCTTGGGATGATGGTTGTTAGACCCTACTGGCATCCAACGTATCTGTCTAGTTGCCTGAAAGCTTGGAAACCATTCTGAGCACCACTTGACTTCACTTCTGCTACTCCAGGCAGGAGAACAGAGACCCACAGAGCCAAGCCAGCAACAATTTGGATGAGTGTCTGCAATTTCCTTCCCAAGGATACTGAGGGCAAAAGAACTCTTGGTCATCAGGCATGGTAGTGTACACCTGTAATCTCAGCTTTCAGGAAGCAGAAAGAGGTAGGATTGTCACAAGTTCAAGGTCAGCCTCAATTACATAGCAGCTTTTAGGCCAGCCAGAGTTAGGTAGTTAAAAACTTGTCTCAGAATAACAAAACAAGGGGCTGGAGAAATGGCTCAACAATGAACAGCACTGGCCACTCTTAGGGCTCTTATGAAGTCTGTATTCAGCACCTCTACTGCAGCTCACAATTAGTTTGGATGACCTCTTTCTGGCCTCCTCGGGTACCAAGCATAGACACGGTGCACGGACATTCGTGCAGGCAAACAAATCATGCCTATGAAGTAAAAATAAATAAGTCTTAAACAAAACAAAGCTTGAGGGCTGGAGAGATGGCTCAGCGGTTAAGAGCACTGACTGCTCTTCCAGAGGTCCTGAGTTCAACTCCCAGCAACCACATGATGGCTCACAACCATCTGTAATGGGATCTGAAGCCCTCTTCTGGTGTGTCTGAAGACAGCTACAGTGTACTCATATACATAAAATAAATAAATAAATTTAAAAAACAAAACAAAGCATGAGAAGACAGCTCTGTAAGACGCTGCTGATCTTGCATGAGCACAAGTGTTCACCTCCAGAAGCCATGTTAAAGGACAATAGTGGAGGCGGTTTGTAATCCTACCGATGGAGAAGCAGAGATGGGGGGACCCCCGGGGTTCACAGCTCTACAGGCCTGGGATTTTCAGCAAGACCCAGAAGCCCTGTGTGGTGGTCTGAATCAGAAATATCACCCATAGGTTCATGGGTTTGAACACTCACTTCCTAGTTGGTAACCCTGTCTCAAGAAGACTGTGAAACTTTAAAGAGGAAGAATGTCACTGCGGGGGAGGGGGGGTGGACTTTGAGGTTGCCCCCCAGATTGTCCCCCTGATTTGTTTATATGAGTGTTTTGCCTGAGTATGTACGTGTACATGAGAACACCTAGTGTCTGCAGAGACTGGAAGGGGTGCTGGATCCCCTGGAACTAGAGCTATAAATACTTTGTGAGCCGCCATAGGGTGCAAAGTCTTGTGCAAGAACAGCAAGTGCTCTTAAGTACTCTTCAGCCTGGTTTTGAGGTTTTATAGCCGGGCCCCACTTCCTGTCCCTTTCCTCTCTCTGCTTCCTCTGTGAAGGGAAACGTGAGCAGGCAGCTTCCTGCTTCTGCCACCATAACTGCCCATTGCCAAGGCTTCTCCACCATGACCTCTGGGCTTTATAAATACACCTGCGTGTGCCCACAGTCACGCATTCTCGCACACACACACAGATACACACACACACACACACTCCTTTGTGTGCTCTTGAGAGTTATCTGACCAATTTCCTGCCCAAAGAGCGGTCTTTTCCAGGATTCCCCCCAGAAGTCACCAACCCTAACGATGAGCAGGCCCGCTGACCGCCTATGCCCTAACCTTGGTTTTCTTACAGCTCTGAAAGTTAAAGGCTCATTTTAAAATTGAATCTAACCCACATCTATGTCTAGTCACAAAGACAACATCTATTTATCAGGAGGGCGTGGTGTGGGTAAGTCAAGACTTATGGAAAAAAAAAAAAAAACTGTTTAAGGCCTCCTGCATTGAGCTCAACTGTGAAGACCTGTGCCAGCTGACAGGGAGAACAGGGTGAAAGCTGGAGACCGAGCAAGCATATAGCTTTATACAAATCATCTGACTGCTCGGCGGCTTGGTTTCCCTTCTGTGAGAAAGGTGAAGGATTCCGAGCTAGCAGAGTTGTATTGGATGGGGATGAAACTCTAGAGCATTTGGTGCAGTGTCTCACACACGGAACCTGGCACATCATGAAGCCTGTGCTCCGAGAGGCCTCCCTAGGCCGACCAAAGGTAATGCTGACACAGGTCACCACACACTATGCGGGTGGCAGGAGTGGGGCCAGAGAGGAAAGCTGGGCCCACGGAGGCGGAAAGTCCACAGTCAGCTCTTCTCCTAGCCAGATATGTGATCAGATCGTTTACTTCAATGTTCTCACTTAACATCGAAAGACTGCAGCTAATGGGAGACGTGGCGATTATTTGAGAAAGGATTTTTTTAAAAGGTGTGTTGTATTTTTAAACTGTGTTTACATGTGTGCCCTAGGGGGAGGTGCACCAGTGTCAAGGTGCCTGTGGAGACCAGAAGAAGATGGCCTGGAGCTGGAGTTACAGGCTGTGGTGAGCCCCCATGAAAGTGATGCCAACTATACTTGGGTCCTTTAAAAGTACCTGAACAATCTCTCCAGGCCAAGAAAATGTTGTTTTTTCCTTTTTAACAGTACAATTACATACAAGACGTTGTTCATAAAATTAAAGGGGATTTATTCAAGGCAAATTGTGTCCTATGAAAGGCTCTCTCTCTACCAGTAGTGGGAAAAACTTTCTGGTTGCACAGAAAGCAGGAACCCTTGCACTTTCTAGAAGCGACTTGAGATATTCAGTTGAAGTACTCTCAGGGTAGTTTCACAGATGTCACTGGGGAAGACAGTGGCCCACGCAGCCACCGGGCCTCACTGGAAAGATCAATCTCTCACACAGGCTCTTTTACATTAAGGCAAAGTTTAGAATAGCTGTCATTCACAGCTAGGAGGAAACACTGTGAAGGTGCATGCTGTCTTTTATTATTCTAAGAAAGGGCCTCCTGGACAAGAGTCCAGTAACTTTTTTTCCCAGAACATTCACTTCCCCGAACTCTTCTCCCCGGGCTGTGCAAGCCGAGCCCTTCATAAGCTTCCGTTGTAAGGACCTCCTCTGATTCCACTCTAAAACACAGGACCTTTGACTCTCAGGAAATCAGTAACCCAGACTCAATTCATCTAGCTCCTTACGATGGCTATTCTTTTTTTTTCGTTTTTTTTTGTTTTGTTTTGTTTTTGTTTTTGTTTTTTTTCCGAGACAGGGTTTCTCTATATAGTCCTGGCTGTCCTGGAACTCACTCTATAGACCAGGCTGGCCTCAAACTCAGAAATCCGCCCGCCTCTGCCTCCCAAGTGCTGAGATTAAAGGCGCCACCACCGCCCGGCACGATGGTTATTCTTTATCCATGCATACCAAAGTCTGAACTTTAGGAAAAACTGCTGAATACGGGGTTGAGAATGTATACAGTGAGTATGAAAATGCTCCAAGCAAGGGCTGGTGACATGACTCAGTGCTTAAAGGTTCTTACAGTCAACCCTGATGACCTGAGATCAATTCCTTGGGCCCCTGTGGAGGAAAGAAGCAAACCTACTCAGTTTGTCCTCTGACCTTCACACACACAGGAGCTGTGGCGTGTGCCTTCCCACCCCACACTCTGACACCCCCCCCAATAAATGAATACAGTGAAAAATAAGTAAATAAATCTTAAAGAAAAATTCATAAGTAAAACAGACAAGTTAGAACCCAGAAAGTCTTATCTTCAAAACAAATTACAAAAGAAAAGTGACGAAGCTCAAGCCAATGGCGGGCTTCCTAACAGGGGACCCGCCTATTCCCGGTACTCTGTAAAGGCTGACTTGGGCTGAGATATATAGCTCAAAAGCCTAGGCCCTTGCCAAGCATGAAAGAAGCCTTGGATTCAACCGCTAGCCCTGAAGCAGGTGAGGGAGAGTCTTAGGAAATAGTGATGGCAGGGCCCCAACTGTCTTCTCCAGAGCAAGATTGCTCTCTAGTGTGGTAAGCGATTTCACCTTGAGTTAGGCTCCACTGTAAACTCCCGAAGCTCCTCGGGCTCGGCTCCTCATATAAAACAGCTGCTGTTGCTCCTGAGACAACTGCTTCCATTAAATAAATGGCTCACGCAGAGCGCTTAGCAAACACACTCCCTGAAACAGGCCCTCCTTCTGCCTTCTCAGGTGATAACATTTCTATCCCACCCTTTATGAGGTCACCCAACTTTGAAGAGCTGACACACAGAGGCATGGCTTTTTAGCTCACACTCACAGTTTTTAAACTCCTGAAATAATTGTAGTCTATTCCCACAAAGCAAGAGTAGGTAGCGAATGAGCCAATAAATTAGAACTGCGTGTAACCGCCTGGGCAAATATCACAGATATTTGTGAGTGTCAAGCGAGTAAAGCCAGGCAGAAGAGCATAGACTGAGAGCCTCCGTGTTTATTAAGTTCAACAACAGCCAAAGCTGAACTATGATGTTGATAATGGTTCATGCAGGGTGGGGAGGAGGAAGTATAAGAAGTAATCTTGAAGAACTGAGAAATGAAACCAGGCAAAGGTCAAACACCTGGAGTCTCGGAACTAGGGACTGAGGAAGACTGCCTCAGGTTCAAAGCCAGCCTGTGTACGAAGTGAGACCCTGCCTCAAAACAAAGCAAATAGAACTGAGAGATGAGAACACATCCCAGAATGGGCTTTTAATAAACAGTTAAAGGATGGATGGATGGATCTGACAACCAGAAATGTTATTGAAAGCTAAGAGACAATATTAAATGTGAGATTTTAATGACACTCTGATCTACAGGTATAGCAATGCATCATTGGGTGCTATATTCCCTTAGCAGAATCACTGTAGGTTTTCTCCTAGTGATCTTGACCTTCCTCCTAGTGACCATGACCTTTCTAGTCTCAGGTTCTTACCCACTTTTCCAGTGTGTGGTATGGGTTCAATCTCATGGGATGGGACTAAATACAACCAAAAATGGTTGGTCACTCATTCCTGTAATCTCAGTACTTGGGAGGCTAAGGCAGGAGGACTAACAGAGTTGGAGGTGAGCCTGGGCTGCACAGAAGTTTCTAGGCCAAATGGAGCTTTGGTGTGATAACCTCACTCAAAACAAACAAATGCTGGGTGTGATATACACACCTTCAATCCCATCATCTCAGAGGCAGAGGCAGAGGCAGGTGCGTCTCCTGAGTTCCAGGATAGCCTAATCTATATAGTAAACTACAGGCCAGCCATAGATATATGCAGTGAGATAACACTTCAAAAAGGAAGAAAGGTGCAAGCCCAGCTCCCAGGAACTCACCTACAATTCTAGCATTCCAGAGGCTGGTGCAGGAGTTCAAGGCTAGCGTCAGCTATAGAGTGAGACTGTCTCAAAAGAACAAAACAAAAATCCAAACACTACCAATCTTTTGTAGAGAGAGCACCTACTTATAGCCAACTTGACACAAAAGCACTCTCACCCCATTTACTAAAAGCAGAATTTGTCAAACAACAAACCATGGTGAGATGGTAAGGACCCCCCCTAATGGGATGTAAAATAACCTCTGGTGATCTTACGCCCACACATCTAGGGGATTGAAATCTAGAAAAATTGAAAGGAAGGCACTTCTCCTGTGAGACAAGGGCAAAAGAAGATCTCGAAGTCTCTAGAAACAGAAGACCCTTTCCCAGAGCCTTTCTGTTCCTCTGATCACATTTCAGATTTGACTAATATTAACTACCTCCTTCAGACAGTCTGGTGTGAGTACACAGAGCCCTCCACTGACCAAGGTCTCCATTTTGGATTTACAGGGAACTAGAGATGGTCTAAGTGCACATGTGACACTCTCGTGCACCTTGTGATAGGCCAATGGTTTGAAAAAAAAAAAAAAGCAAGCAAGCAAGCAAACAAACAAACAAACAAACAAAAAACCCACAGGGTTTCTCTGTATAGCCTTGGTTGTCCTGGAGCTTGCTCTATATAGACCAGACATGGCATGTGCCATGCCGGGCAGTGGTGGCGCACGCCTTTAATCCCAGCACTTGGGAGGCAGAGGCAGGCGGATTTCTGAGTTTGAGGCCAGCCTGGTCTACAGAGTGAGTTCCAGGACAGCCAGATATATACAGAGAAACCCTGTCTTGAAAAACCAACCAACCAACCAACCAAACAAACAAAAAAAGCATGTGCCACCATGCCTGGCTAGTTTTGAAATCTTAAGGGGTTAAGAAAAGGCTAATTCACATTTTAAAAATGACATAACTTCTGAGTGGTCTTCTCAGTTAAAGGCCTGGCTACTCGGCTCCATTTGCTATCCCACAAAGATAAGCTGTCAATATGCTGTCCTTCCCTAAAACCGGGTCTACTGCTCCACCATGGTTAGATGGAGTCCTACCCACCCAGACACAGAAGCCAACCCAGAAGCTTCAGCAGAGAGGAAGTTTTCCTCCAACCTTGAAGCAGTCATCTCTGCTACCCCCTTTACAGTGACTGGAAGGTGACACAGATCCCTGGCAGGATCGATGGTATTCTCAACCATCAATACCAACCTCACACTGCCAGCTACTACCAACGACTCCATATGCTGGCTCTACCTTATACATTATACTTCGACACCATTCACCAAGAATTAGCACCTACTTTCTGGACCTTGTACTTTTTCAGAATTTCTGATGTCCTGTTTGGATTTTAGCCACAACTATAGGTATGTGTCTATCATAATCACCATGACAACTGACAATTGATCAAAAATAAATAGTTCAGGTTCCCTCTTGATCACATGAGTTCAGATTTTCTACCAAGGGGCGAGATGCGGGGAGCAAATAAAGATCTGTATTCCCGAGGCATATTAACCCAGCAATCTCCCAAGGTCATGGCCAGCAATACAAAGAGACTCTAAAACTGCTGTGCCTAAAAGTCTAGATCTTAAGATAAAAACCTGCTTTCATGAGGACCTTTAATTTGTACTTATCTTGTCTAAACTTAACACAAGAGGGATGGGGGTGGGGAGGAGAAAATTTTCAAGAAATCGGAGCCACCTTTTAGCAAAAGCTTTCAATGGAATGAGTCACCAGGTTTAAGGCACAAGGTGACACTTGGTTGGCCTCACAGAATCCACAGGCCTGGCTCCTTGCTGAAGTCCATGTACACAGCAAAGGCTCCGGCCACCTTTCAGACCCCTCTCCATGACACACTCAGCTCTCCAGTACAACCGTAAACAGCAGAGGGTTACAAGTCTGCAGGGACTGCCAGCCACTGGGAAACTTAAGATTTCCCAAGAAATTCTTTCTGCCGGCTCACCCCACATATTTCCCCGGTCACCATTCCCACCCCTGCAGGAGAAGGGGGGCCCAAGGCCTATGCAATCCACAGTTTTAAATATTAATAAATACCAAAGTATGAAACCAGTACCTGCCAAACACCTGGTGCTCGCTTTCCCCTGCCCGTCCTCGCCTCCCACGCTCTGGCAACGGAATGCCCTTCAAAACCATGGCTCAGTGCTTTTGGTAAATGTTTTACGAGACACTGAACAGCCTTTCGACCCACCCTCAGAGCAAACACCATTGAGAGAACACAATATAATGGTAGCAAAGCGATCCTGGGATGTACAGTAATGTCATTGACCAAGCGGGTTTCCACACTTCCCTTTAAGAAAGGGAAACCAACCCAAAATCTGAAGACGTGGGCATCAGTGGGCAAAGCTTCTAGAACTAGAACTTGAAGCTAGAAGCCTTAGAGGTTTTTCTGTTTTGTTTTGAAGGTGGCCTTACGATCACCTTGCTCTAATCCCCAAGCAAGTCTTGACTTGTCAGACTGAAAAGGTGTCTAAATTAAGAGTTAATAAAGGGAGACGAAGGGTGGAATTCTCTGGCACACCTGCAGACACAGTAGCACCCACATATTTATGGGGCACTAATTTCTAGTTATTGTGGAAACGGTACCTGGAAAAGGTAGCTTCCGCAATAACAAAACGAACATACTCCCCGTTTTTCCATAGCCCAAAAGTTAGTCACAGTTAAACAGCAACTTGCTCTGAACCAGAAGTTTGGCATTCCATTCAGGTTAACAATTATAACCGAAGGACAACAGAAACTTGCTGGCACCGAGCGATCAGCACCCACAGCGTGGCAGGTGCTTCTTAGAAGCAGGGTTAACCAAACAGAGGAGGAACTCAGAGGTCCTTGGGAGGCCTGGTCCAGAGAACCTGGGTCCCAAGCCCACGAGGGCAACACGCACGTACCTGCTCTTGGTGCTCTGAGTTGGACAGTGAGGAAGGGTGAGTATTCTGCTACCTACAAGCCTAAAAGAAGAGCAAACCTATCTAGAGAAGCAAGTTTGCTTTGGCAGACAGGTTAGGCAAAAAAAACACCCCTCTCCTTTTCTGTCCCCCACCCCCACCTCAGTCCCCAAGAGCACTCAGAATTCCGCACTTCCTACTTTAAGTAGAAGTGTAGAAATCTGATTGGAGGATCCAGAGCCTGGCTTTTTCTATACTCAGGCTGTGTGACCTTGGGCTACTATCTCCACCTTTGAAATTGTTTCTTGATGCTTATCAAACAAACAAACAAACAAACAAGCAATCACCTAGAGCCAGGGAAGATATATTAACGGGGGACTTCTTTAGAAGCACCGTTTTAGATCTTCAAGCCAGGGTCTGAAGCGCTGTAACAACGGTCCCCCTCACACCTTGTGTGTATAAACCTCATCTTAGTTTCCATTTTGTCCAGTGACAGAGGCTTCAGTTCAGCAGTAAGTTTCCTTTCTCTGGGGTTGGAATGACTCATCAGTTCGGGGTGGGTTTCACAAATGACCCTTTATCTGACTGCTCAGAGGCGTGGCCGGCCAGCCAGGGCAGTCTCCTCCACCTTACACAACAGTCTGTGCACACTGCCCTCTGACACAATTAGCTAACCAGACCTGCACAACCACTCCAGCCTGGCCTCTCTGGTCCCTCTCTCCTCCTTCCCTACCTCACTATCCCAACATGGATTCTTCAGCCCAGGCAGGCCTTGAACTCATCATCTCTCTTCCACAGCCTCCTGCTATGATGCTTCCTCCTCCCTTGTCTTTTCCCCCTCCTGGTCAGTCTTCTCTATTCCTCACTCTGGGCTGGCAGCCACAGTTTTCCACTTTCTCTCATCTTGTAAGACCCTGCTCTCCTGGACATTCACTCTTCAGGCACCCCAGTGAAATCAAATGTGCTAAAAGGTCAAATCTTACAATGTGGGGATGTTTTTCCCCTTCCCAGGGGTCTTTTCTACATACCTGTCTCTAGGGTATCCCTTTCCACTCTGGCTTTCATGGACTCTAGTGGAACATGTAGCCCTGCACCCCTAGCACGGAGTCAGTCCTAGGTCTGACTGTATGGGGATATACTTGAACTTCTGAAGCTGGGTACATGCCTTTAATCTCAGCACTTGGGAGGCAGAGGCAGGCGGATTTCTGAGTTCGAGGCCAGCCTGGTCTACAGAGTGAGTTCCAGGACAGCCAGGGCTACACAGAGAAACCCTTGTCTTGAAAAAACAAAACAAAAAAGCCAAAAAAACTCAATACTTGAACTTCTGGTGGGGTTTGTAACTTTTCTTTTTTAATAGGGTCTTAGATCATAGCCCACACTTAACTCAGTTATATGGACAGCAAGGATTAACTCGAATTCTCAACAATCATTCTACCTCAGCCGCCCAAGTGTGGTAATTGTACTCTGTAATAATCGAATTTTGAGGAGTAAAATGTGAATATGGCTAAATACCAAGGAGTACTTTGTTGGTTAATCCTAGTATAATAAAAAGGTCACACTTCGCAAGGATGTCTTCTCATTTCATATATGATCTTATAAACATATTATATACATCAAAAGAAATGATAGCAAATGAAACAACCATCAAAAAACAAGCATCCAGCCAGGTTCAGGAGGTTGACGTAGGAGGATCATTGCGAAGGTTGGGTCTAGCCTGGGCTTTGAGGCTTGTCTCAAAACCCAAAAAAGAAAATGTCCAAAGCTAGGTATAGTGATTTATGTCTGTAATCCCAGCCCTCGGGAAGCTGAAGCAGGAGGACCACTAGGAACTAAACTCAGACTGGGACACAAACCATGACTCTGTGTCAAAGAAACCAAAACCAAACCCAGGCTTCATCTGATGAGTGATTTCCTCCCATGCGTCAAAGGCACTGTGCATGTATGTGCAGTGCCTGAGATGCCCAGAGAGGGCGCCAGAAGCCCTAGCGCTGGAATAACAGATGGTTATTTTTTTTTTATGGGAAAGCAAGTGTTCTTAAGCACTGAGCCATCTCTCAGCCTCTAAAAACAGTGAAAAGGGAGAGCAGACGCCCAAGTGTTCTCATTCCCACATGTGCGCTGTGGGACGTGCACGCAAACATGTACATGCATAAACCAATCAATGAAACAAACGTACAATAATAATTAATACATAAGGACATAATATTGCCGAGTGACCCTCTCCACCCTTCGGCCACAGCGTCCCGAGTGCTGGGATGTGCTCCCACAACCAGCTCCAAGCACCATTTATCGTACGGTGCCAGGCACTTGACCATGTGAGATGTCCCTCAGTTCAGACTTTCAGGAAGACAGCAGAGAGGCAACATGGGGGCGTCGTACCTCTGTGCTGACCGCAGAGCTGCGATTCACCAGTTTCTGTCTGAGCCCTCGATCCCTGAGTCCCACTTCCATCCCACGTACGCTGTAGCCTATCCCCCTCGCAGCGTGCCTATTGCTTACATGGAGCTCCGCCTCCTCTTCTTTTGGCCCCTCGATGATCAGAACCCGACTCTGTTCTTCACTCCTTTTTTCTCCTTCCCTATTCCCTGACCCCTTTCTTATTCACCCGAAGATCACTTGTGCTATTTAAAACCTATTGAAAAACTATGATGGGGGAGGGAGGTCCTCATTTGACCAGGAAACCCAACCAAACAGATTCCCGGTTCTACTTTTCCACCTAACGTGTTTACAAACTTGATATTGAAGCCCTGCAATGCTCGCTGCAGAGAAATCCGGATTCTACCCAGTACTTGGCATGTTATGATTTAAATATGCTGTCTCATGCTGGTCACCAGTTGACTTGTGTCCCTGAGGAAGGTCAATGCTTTCTGGACAGTACATGTTTTCTTGTTTGGTTGGCTCTTTGCTTTGATTTGATGAGGTAGGGTAGCACTCTGTATCCCTAGCTGGTCTCATACTTCCTATCTTCCCCTTCCAAACCCTTACCCCCGTTTCTAACAATTCCAGGTCAAGATTTTGTTCTGTGCCTCTCTTTATACTAGTACAATGGAGGCCTTGATTCTTGTTGTTGTTTTATTTTATTCTTTTTTTTTTTTTTTTAAAGACATGGCCTCGATACGTAGACCCGGCTGGCCTTGAAGTTTCAGAGGCCCTCATTCCTATGCTTCTGAAGAACTCTGTATTTCCCAGGAAATGTCAACTATAGAATTCTGAAAGGGCAGAATGTTTTTTGTTTTTTTTTTTTCGAGACAGAGTTTCTCTGTGTAGCCCTGGCTGTCCTGGAACTCACTCTGTAGACCAGGTTGGCCTCAAACTCTCAAACTCAGAAATCCACCTGCCTCTGCCTCCCAAGTGTTGGGATTAAAGGTGTGTACCACCACCGCCCGGCGAGGGCAGAATGTTTTGATATTGAGAGATTGCTGCTCACTTCCGAAACACCTGTGCACTTTGGTGGCCTAGTCCTGCCCTGGATATATGTGACTCTAATGTATATAGTCTGTGGAATGCTTTCAGAGTTTGGAAAGTAGGTTTGAGTTCTGAAACATGAGGGGACAGAAGAAACAGGAAAGGTGGGTGGGACATAATGTGGAAGGCTATTTCGACTCCTTTAAATCTCAAAAGAGGGCTTCAAGAAGTTTGGTGCATTCGGCTTTGGAAACCGCCTGTCATCCACGCCGGCTTCAACCTATACCCTAAGGAAGTCCCAGTAGCTTTTGATATTTTCCCAAATTATCCAGGAAACGGGAGAGTATGATGGGAGAATGGGCACACGATGAACCTACACCATCTGGTGCTGGCTTCCACTGGAGCCACAGTTCTCAAAGTGAGGTTCCAGGAACCCCCGGGGAGCTCACCCAGAAAACTGCCTGTTTGGGGTACCTAGTTGCCACAGCTGTCTCAGGGGGAATCACTTGTGTGACAGAGCTGCACCAGGGACTTGCCACTTCCCTCCTAGAAAGCCATTTGTACAGAGAGAATCAACGACAGCTCTTCAGGCTTTGGGCTTTTGGCAGATGCTCTCTAGCAAATGAAAGAAGTATTCCTGGGCCTTCAAAGGCCACAGCTGTTTCTAATTATAGCCGTCAAAGGAAAGTTAAAATTGTGGAGAACTTGCATCTGCTAACATGGACGTGACAGCTTGCCAATAATTAAAGGCTGCTTTAGGAATATCAGTTGTGACAGTAACAAATTTCAATGGGTACAGAATAATAAAACATATGCCAATGT